TTTTTACAATATTTACTAATTTTATTTTCTGAGTGAAAAGAACAATCAGTACATTTATCATTAAGACTATCTTACCTGCAAGTGCTCTTGGACCTGGGAATCTGTCATGGTCAGTTGCTTCTGGTGGAAACACACAGTTGTAATTCAAGCAGGTCAATAATGTGTCTATCTGTGATGTTCGGACATCTTTAGGACAATACATAGGTAGGAATGCAACATCAATTGCTATGTCATGGTTCAGACCTGTTATAGAAAAAAAATGCACTTTATATCAGTAGGTTAGTATATGGTGTCAAGAAGGTCAAGTTTGCTGGTTTGATTATAACTTCACACCTGGAAAAACTTGTGTTTCAAAATTGAATTCATGTCATTGGTTGAAAGAGTTCAGTGTAACCTATCACCACTGCTGGAAAAACAAAAATTCAAAATGTTTTTCCAGGGGATGGAAGGTTGAAATCTTCCTATTTGGAGGACAACCTGGTCATGAAGACATGCCAACTGAGTTTCCTTGATCATTTATGACCGGTACCAACACAGAGTAGAAGAATTCAGAGATGACTATTGCTAACTCTAACTCAAGCAAGGGCAAGGATGGTAGTAACTAGGTCCTGTCTGTTCTCAAAAATATAAAAGTCAACTTTCATTCACTTGTAATTAGAGCTATAAAAGACTGTGGTAGAAAAAGGGCTAAGGGGGAACAACCAAAGTGAATCCTGACCTGTGACTGTCATCTCTTTTGGTGGGTCAAAGTCTGGTGGGTTTGAACCGCCAACCTTCTGGTTAGCAGTCAAATGCTTTAGGCACTACGCCACCAGAGCTCCATCAAAGTCAGCTAGCGTGGATTAAATAAAAGAGACTTCCTAGAAGAAAACAAGGGTGTGAGTTGGGCGCTGAGGGATAAGTATCATATGGATACTCATCAAAGAAGAGAGTAATTCAGGCAGGGCATGAAGCAGCACAGGAGAAAGGTATAGACCAACATAAACAGACTATCCTGGCTGGAGCAAGGGTAAACACACAGAGCACAGCTTTAAAACTCTATGAAATCCACCCATTCACCTAAATCAGAAATCTGGTAGTTAACCTTAACTCCTCCCTCTCATTCTTCCCTGACAGTCAGTCACTGAGTCCTATAGATTCTTAAACAAACAAACAAACAAACTCACTGCCATCGAGTCAGATCCAACTTATAGCCACCCCTCCTTGGGTTTCTGAGGTGGTATCACTACAGAAGTAGATTGCTCAATCTTCCTTCCAAGGAGTGGCTGGTAGGTTTGAACTGCCAGCTTTCTGGTTAGCAGTCAAGTCCCATAGATCAACCCACTGCCATTGAGTTAATTTGTCCTATGGATCAAGAAGTCCTTACTATTGCCCCTATTCATCCCCAACAGCAATTCTTAAGTACTGAGTATGTGCTACTGATGGGTAAACAAAGTCTTCCTGTTAATCTTCAAATTGATCTAGAAATGTAAGACTTTTCCTTATTTTTATGGGAAGATGACACTAAAGATCACACTAAACTTAATAGCTTTAATCTAACATACAACTAAGAGCCACTAAACCATTTTTAAGGATTACTAAAATTTAGTATTCATAAGCTAAAATAATCATGTTATCTAGAATTTTGAGGATTTTAATTCAGTATGATAAGAAGTGTAGCTACCCCACAACTGCAAGCAATACTGCAAAACTATTGTGAATGTGTATATGCTGGTATCTTATTTCCTTGATTCCAAGACTAAATTAAACTCTTATATATACCATCAATTTAATAACAATTTTTTATGAAAAGGAAACTCCATGAAATGTACCCATTGATTAAGATTCATTTCAACCTGAAAATGTGAAAAAATAAAGTATGCCTTAGAATTACGAAAATATAAGATGTTGGAAATTCTGATATTTTCAGGAAGGAGTTTTATTATCAGTGTGTCATTGATCCTATTTTATGTTGCTGTCTAAATGATAAACTACTGTGAGAGTTTAGTTTCAACATTACTAATAAAACTTTTTCTGAGTTATTTGATGAAAACTAGAGTTCACAGTACAAATGTGTAGGTAGGCTTCAGGACTATGTACTTGTTCCTGTGCCTAGAATGCTCTTTCCACAGATAACCACATGGCTTGCTCCTTCACCTCTATCAGGTGAAATGTTATCTTCTCAGGGATACCTCCCCTGACCTCTTTACTTAAAGTTTAAACTCTTCCTACTACAGTACTTCCCAGCACCTTTTACTAGCACGTAATGTTATATCAGTCTTCTATAAAATCTTTTAGAGCAAGGATTTTTATCTTTTGTGCTCCCAGCATATAACCCCAGCATCCAGAAGAGTGCTTGGCATGGAGTAGGTACTTTTAAAATATTTGTTAAGTTGAGTAAATAAATATACATTTGTTTATGTTTACCTATAATTTTCTAATACTGGACTTTAACATATCAGGGCATTACTATTCAAATATGAATTCATCCATGCATAATATTACCAAAAGAGATGAACACAAAAACTTCCCCAAAATGTGCTTCAATGCTGATTTCCTTAAGTAACTTACAACAATACTATCAAGGTATGTGTAATAAAATACCTGGACTATATTCTAATTTATAGGGCAATGTAAACAAATAAATGCATATTCTTCTTTTGTAAAGTATATTATTTGCAATTCTTATATTGTCCTCCCAAATTCTGTTATCACTGAGTTTCTTTTCCAATGAAATGTGTGTGTGTGTGTGTAAAGTCTGTAATCCCAGAATCTAGCAGAGTGCTTAGAATATACACTTCACTGAAGCTAGGATGTTAATGATTGTAAGATGGTCATTATTTTATATACCACTAAAAAAAAAAAAAAAAA